GGGTTTTGTGGGTTAAAACCAATTGTCTGTCTGTATAATCGTACTTATTGTATTATTTTAATAAATTGTTATTCTGACTTAAATTCTCTCTTTTGAGTAGAGTTCATTTCCCCCGCTGGTTAACTTTTAAACCAGCACAAGGGGAGAGACCAGAGGGGAACTTCTGGGAGAGATGTTTTGGGCTAAGCTTAATATTGTGGAGTATTTTTTGGCTGAATCTTAAGTTTTTGCAGTTGGGGAGGGGTTCCTCTTGCTATTTCTGAGGGTTTTTTTGCCTGAATCTCATTGGTTTGGGTTTTTCTGGGCTGAATCTTGGTGTTTTGGAGGTTTTTATGATCACAGGATACCTGGAGAGTTCTAGAGATAGACTTGGGCAGGAGGAACCCCCAAGCCAACACGCTCAGCCCTTGTTTTCTCCCCATCAGGATTTTTCCTTCCCAAAGCTTGGGCGGATGGAGGAGGAGGCTGCGAGGAAGAGGAAGATGCCTTGGGCCCCCCAGGCAGGTGAGGAGGAAGTCAGTGTCCCTTTGGGCGGGTGTTGTGCTGGCTCTGGCAGCCCAGCATGGCCCCCGGCTGCAGGACAACCCCGCTGCCGCCGCCGTCCTGCCAGGGCCGGAGTTGGGGGGATGTCCTTGGCCTTCCCTGTGGGCCGGAGGCAAATCCCCTCCCTGTCCTTCTTGCTTCCTGCCCCAGGCCCTGAGCTGAGGACGGAGAGCCCGGAGGACACATCCCCCCAGCAGAGCCTGGTGGGAGAGGCCGTTTTGAAGGGCTCCACGGCGCAGGAAGGCAGCGGGGAGGAAAAGGGCCCGAGATCCCTGCGGAGGAGGGGCTCCAAAGCCAGCCCAGGGTGCTCTGAGGAGGAAAGACCCAGCCTGTGCCGGGAAGGCGGCCAGAGCTTGAGGGGGAGCTGTGACCTGGTGGTCCCTGAGCAGCCTCCCAGCAGGCAGAAGCACTTCCGGTGCTTGGAATGTGGGAAGAGCTTCAGGAAGAGCTTCAACCTCCTCACCCACCAGCACATCCACACTGGGGAACGTCCCTACACCTGTGGGGAATGTGGGAAAAGCTTCAGCCAGAGCTCCAACCTCCGCACCCACCAGCTCATCCACACTGGGGAATGGCCCTACGTGTGTGGGGAATGTGGGAAGAGCTTCAACCAGAGGTCCAACCTCCGCACCCACCAGCGCATCCACACTGGAGAACGGCCCTACCCATGTAGGGAATGTGGGAAGAGCTTCAGGGACAGCTCCCACCTGATCCAACACCAGCACATTCACACCGGGGAACGGCCCTACACCTGTAGGGAATGTGGGAAGAGCTTCAGCCAGAGTTCCACCCTCCTCCAACACCATGGTGTGCACACTGGGGAACGGCCCTTCACATGTGGGGAATGTGGGAAGAGCTTCAGCCAGAGCTCCAACCTCCACATCCACCGACGCATCCACACTGGGGAACGGCCCTACAAGTGCTTGGAATGTGGGAAGAGGTTTCTGACCAGCTCAGATCTCCTCAGGCATGAGCGGACGCACACAGATGAGAGGCCCTTCCGCTGCACCGACTGCGGGAAGGGCTTCAACCGGAACTCCGCCCTCATCACCCACCGGCGCATCCACACCGGGGAGAGGCCCTACAAGTGTGGGGAGTGTGGGAAGAGCTTCACTGGCAGGTCTACCTTGACCAGACACCAACAGACCCACCAGTAAGCGAAGCCCTCGAGTGCCCCGACTGCGGGAAGAGCTTCGGCCGCTGCTCCAACTCCATCAGCCATTGGAGGACTCCCACTGGATGATCCACAGGGACCCATGTTGGGCACAGACCTTGTGACCCACGTTCCAGGTGATCCATGCTGGGCAGTGTATTGGGTCTGGATGGACGTGTTTTGGTAGCAGGGAGGCTCCAGGGGTTGGTTCTGTGAACAGCTGCCAGAAGCTTCCCCCATGTCCAGCCCCTGTCCTGACCCCTCTGACAGCGAGGGTGACCCAGGGTCTTGTTAATCCAGGCCTTGGGCAGATTAGAGTGAAATGACAGTGAATAATCAGTGTTTATAGATATATATATATGTAGTGTTTAGTTTAGAACAGTTTAGTTGCCATGTAAAGCAGGTTTGGAGCCATTTTGGTTCCTATCTATAGTGATATGAAAGCATGAAAATAACATTTAAGAAAATGTAGAAGGGAAAAGAAAGAAAATATCAGAGTAGAAAGATGCAGAGCCCCCTCCCCCCCCCCGAGGATAGTTTATCTATATACATATATATATATATGTATATGTTGGGTTTAGTCTAGAACAATTTTTTCTCCATGTAAAGTAGGTTTGGGCAGTTTTGGCTCCTGTCTATAGTGATATAAAAACACAAAAATAACACTTCCCCTCTCTGGCTCCAAGCCCAGCCTGTCCCCTCCAGGGCTGGGTGTTCCCCCCTCTGCCCCAGGTGGTTCTGTTGCCCTTGGGCAGCAAAGCCCCCACTGCTTCTGCAACTGGAGAGTGTTGGAGCCATGGACCATTAACATTCCAGTCTCTCCCAGCTCTGCATCCCAAAAGTCGAGAGGGATCAATCTGTTACCTCAAAGTAGATCAATCCCACTGAAAATGGCTCAATCCCACCCCAAAATTCCTGTGTTTCTTATTTTCCCTATGTAATTCTGGGGCAGCCAGTGCCACCTCTCAGCTCTCCGCAGGCTGAGGCTTGGCCTTGCACTTTTGCCTTTGCTGGATTTCTTCAAATATTTCATCAAATATTTCTCTCTCCCTGAAAAGAAAAATATGGAAGGTTTTCAATAATCTGGACATCTTTAGACCGTCTGGACAAATTACAGTTTGCAGTGTTGGAACAGCTCAGCCAGAACGTTTTCCATCTTTGATCATTTGTTCCCATCCCTCCCAGGAGGGAGGACACTGAACTTTTCCACAGAAACAGAAAACTAGTAACAAAAATTCAGAGACTACTGAAAACGAAAAATACCTTTTGCTCACAGGTGACCCTTTCATGTCCTTCTCTTCTGCCTTCCTGCCTTCCATGTTATCCACGGCAGCAGTTGCCTAGATCATGGCCCAAAAAAGCTTTTTAATTCATTTATAATCATTCCAGAAAACTGAATCACAGCTGGGGTGTGGGAGACCAAACAGGTGTTCAGGCTGGAGAGCCAGAGGCAGCTCCCCAGAGAGAGGCCTCAGAGATAGTGATGGAATCCATCAGACGACCTTG